AGCCTGGGGACCCCAGGCTCGGACGGACCCCGCTCCTCCAGCGGATACTAAGGCCGCCGCCATCTTCCTCCGCCGCCGCTGCCACAAAGCAACTGTCGTAAAGCGCTCTGTCACGCTCTTCAGTCGCGCTCTAAAGCCGTCTGCGGGCGAAGCTAAGTCACGGTTGACGGCGGCAGGGAAAAGAGTCGTGCGGGGAAGGATATTTTGCGACAGTGAGCGCTTGATGGCAGCGTGGCAAGCCGGCCCGCCGAAAAGCGCCGCGGACAGCGTGCAAGGCCTCCGCTTCTGCGCGGGACTGACTCGATCTGATGGGAGTCGCGCTTCAGTCTTGGACACAGACTCGAGCGTGTCTGCGTTAGGGTGACAGCGCTGATTTCATTTCCCTTAGATGTGGACGTCGGAGGATATACCAGGCGTGGCATCGCTGGGCCATGCAGACGCGATACACTTAGCATTGAAGAGCCGAGTTCACAGTTTGCACGGCAGCCGCCCCGTTTGACATACCCGCCAGCGCTGTGTGCATCCTGACTTTCCAACTTCCCCGCAGCCTCACTGCCTCCGTGCACTTTTTATTTTAGCCTTCCGAGTGGGCGTGAAGTGGCATCTTGTGTGGCTCCCCCCCCCCCCGACTTCCTTAATGATTGGCGATGTTGAGCATATTTTCATGTGCTAACTGTCCATTTGCACATATTCTTTGGAGAGAAGTCTATTCAAATCCTTAGTCCTTTTTTTTTTTTTAAGTAAACTGTACACCGAACTGGGGCAAAACTCAAAACCCTGAGATCAAATGTTGCATGCTCCAGCACCTCAGGCAGCCAGGCACCCCAAAACTGGGTTACCTTTTATTATTATTATGAGAGAGAGAGAGAGACAGAGACTCTTAAGCAGACTCCAGGCTCTGCGCCTAGCCCAACGGGGGCTTCCATCCCACCACCCTGGGAGCATGACCTGAGATGAAATCAAGAGTTGGATGCTCAATGGGCTGAGCTACCCAGACACCCCTGGGTTATCCTTTTATATTCTAGATACTAGGCCTTTATCAGATATCTGTTTTGCAAGTATTTTCTCCTATACTATAGATTGTCTTTTCACTGCCTTCATCACAAGACCTTTGCGTAATCTGAGGCAGCTGAGATTTCCATCTGTTTTAAGAGTTTTGTAGTTTCAGTTCTTACACGTTGAGGTCTATGTTCCATTTTGGGTTAATCTTTGTATATGATGTGAGGGAAGTAGGGACCCAAATTCATTCTTTTGAGCACTGTTTGTTGCAAAGACTGTTCTTTTCCCTTTGAGGGGTCTTGGCACCTTTATCAAAAATCAAATGCCCATAGGGGTGGCTGGGGGGCTCAGTCGGTTAAGCATCCGATTTCGGCTCAGGTCATGATCTCACGGTTCATGGGTTTGAGCCCCGCATCGGGCTCTGTGCTGATAACTAGCTCAGAGCCTGGAGCCTGTTTCAGATTCTGTGTCTCCCTCTCTCTCTGACCCTCCCCCGCTCATGCTGTCTCTCTCTCTCTCTCCTAGAAATAAATAAAACATTAAAAAAAATCAAATGCCCATGGTATACGATCTGTTTCGTATGTGGTTTGCTTGTATTTTGTTGAAGACCTTTTGCATCTGTATTCACATAACGTATTGTGCTGTAGTTTCTTGTTTGTTTTTTCTTGTAGTATCTTTGGTATCAGGCTAATTGTGGCCTCATAGAATTAGGAGGGAAGTGTTTCCTCCGTTTCTATTTTTTAGAGTTTCTAAAGGAGGATCATTATTTTTTCCTTTTTAAAACAATGTTTATTCCATTTTTTTAAGACACAGAGACGGAGTGTAAGCAGGGGAGGGGCAGAGAGAGACACACACAGAATCTGAAGCAGGCTCCAAGCTCTGAGCTGTCAGCACAGAGCCCAATGTGGGGCTTGAACTCACAAACTGGGAGATCATGACCTGAGCTGAAGTCAGCCACTTAACCAAGTGAGCCACCCAGACATCCCCTAGTTTTTCTTTAAATGTTTGGTAAAATCCATCAGTGAAAACATCTGGTCTCGGGCTTTTGGGAACGTTTTAAATTACTAATTCAATCTCTTTATTTATTATAGGTGTACTCAGATTTTCTATCTATTCTTGAATCAGTTTTGGTAGTTTGTGCCTTTCTGGGAATCTTCCATTTCATCTATGTCACCTATGTCGGCCTACAATTATTGATAGCATTCCCTTATAATCTTTTTTATTTCCAAAAGCTTGGTAGAAATGACCCCTCTGTCATTCTCGATTTTAGTGATGTGAGTCTCCTTTCTTTTTGTCTTGGTCTGGCTTGGTTGTTAATCCTGTCATTCTTTCGAAAGAATCGACTTCTGGTTTAATTGTTTCTTTCCATTCTTTGTCTATCTTCCAGTTCATCTGTTTCCACTCTGATATTCATTATTTCTCTCCTTCTGCCTTTTTTTAAGTTTTAGTTTGCTCTTCTTTTTATAGTGTCTTAAGGAGGAAGGTTCAAGTACTGGTCTGAGATCTTTCCTCATTTTTAAAATAGGCGTTTACAGCAAATTTCCCACTGAACGCTGCTTATGCTGCATCCTTAAGTTTTCTTTTCATTTTCACTCATCCCAAAATGTTTACCCTGTGATTTCTCCTTTCGTCCATCGGTCGTTTAGGAGTGTGCTGTTTCATTTCCACATTATTTGTGAATTTCTCAAATTCCTTCTTGCTATTGATTTCTAGTTTCATTTTATTTTAGTTAGAGGATATTTCCTGACCTCAATCTTCTTAAGTTTACTGAGACCTTTTTGTGACCTCACATATGGTCTCACTCGGAGGATGCCATATTTGCACTTGAGAAGAATGTGTTTGGCTCTTCTTGTGTGGAGGGGTCTTCGTGTGAGCCTGCCATGGTCCTCAGACCGCAGCCGGGGCTGGTTTCTGAATTGAAAGAATGATCTAAGGAATCCTCTGCTTAAAACGAACTCTGGAGATAAAGTCCTATCTCTAGAAGATAGCTTGCAAGGACCTTCTTGAACTTGCTCCTGAGCACCGTTTCCAGCATCCCATCTCCTCTTTACTTTTTAACTTTTTACTGTAATAAAATATAAGTAACATGACATAAAAAGTAACATTTTAACCATTCTCAATATCTGATTCAGTAGCATTAAACAGGTTTCCATTACTGGGCAACCTCTCTTTTCTTTTTGACTCTTGGCTCCAGCCGTCTGAACCCTTTCCAGCGCTGATATGTTCATTTAACAAAAAGCCTTTCAGTGTCTACTAGGTGACAGGGACTATTTAAGGCACTGGAGGTACATCAGGGAATGAAATAAAAATTCCTTGCCCCACGCAGCTTACATTTCTCGCTGGAGACAAAACAAGTAAGTACAATACACAGCATATTGGAGAGTGAATCATATTAAGGGGAAAAAAAGGCAGGGAAGAGAAACAGGAAGTGTGTGTGTGTGTGTGTGTGTGTGTGTGTGTGTGTTGAAGAGACATTTGAGTAAAGTCCAGAAGAAAGGAAGGAGGGAAGTCATGTCTCTATTTGTGGGAACAGCGTTCTGGAAAGAGAAGAACAAGTGCAAAGATTTTAGGATTTCAGGATTAGGCCCGAAATATTCAGTGAGAATGGAAGAGGTCAGTTTGGCGAGCACACGGTCAGCTCACGTAGGACCTTTACAAAGCTCTGCATTGTTCTCAACTGAGAATAGGATCCAGAAAATATCCTGCTTAAATTTATTTCTTCATCTGAGCGGAAGAGGAAGTCATTGGAAGCTTTTGAGCGGGGAAGTGACATGAGAATATGATCTTTATTTTAAGAGATCACTTTGGCTGCTCCATTAAAAACACATAATAGGGGCGTCTAGGGCACCTAGACGGCTCAGTTGGTTAAGTGTCCAGCTCAGGTCAGATCTCACCGTTTGTGAGTTCCAGCCCCACATCGGGTTGTCAGCTGTTAGCACAGGGCCTGCTTCCCATCCTCTGCCTCTGTCTCTGCCCCTCCCTACTCTCTCTCTCTCTCAAAAGTAAACATTTAAAAAAATTTAAAGACACACAATAGGGACACTGAGTATGAGACACAGAGACAATTAGGAGGCTCTTGTCATAACCCAGGTGGTGGATAGAAAGTTGGGCTTCACACGGTGGTGGCGGTGGAGATGGTGCGAAATGGTCAGCTTCTGACCCATTCCATGTGGGTATGAAACAGGGAGAGTCAGGGTGACTGCAGTGTTTGGCTTTGGGGCCTGGAAGCACGGAGCAGTGATTCACCCAAAGGAGAGGCTGTGAAGGGCCTCCACGGGGGAGGGAAGGGCATTAGATGCTCCGTCCTGGACGTGTTCGGTTTGTGTCCAGCAGAGACGCAGTTGAAGATGTCTAACAGGCCGGTGTGTCTGCAGGGTTCTGGGGGTGCAGGGGGACAGGGGCCGGGCTCACGATCGGAGAGTTGCGAAATCTTTCACGCCCACTATTGCGGGAGTGGCCGAGGACGTGTTAATAAACCTGCATGACGGACCCCGGCGCCCGCTCGGTTGAGGCCGCACGCGCGGGTTTGGGGCTCCGGGCGGTGACACGGGAGGGCGCCGCTCATTCCCAGGGACAAGGGGCGCCGGGAGCGGCGCTGGGCGGGTGGCACCGCGGGGTCTGCGGGGGCGGCCAGGAAGGCGCGGGCTGCGCGGGGGCGGGGCTCGGCGCGCGGCCCGGACGGGGCCCCGGGGGAGCGTGAGTCTCTCGGCTGCCGGGAACAGGGATGACACATCTTCCCACATCCATTGTTTTCGACTTCCCTTAAGCGCCTTCCGTCCCCACACAAGACGCCCTACATCCACGGCTCCCAAAGATTGCGTTTTATTCCCCACAGCTCCGCCCCGCCGCGCCGCGAGCCCGGCCCCCGCCCAGCTCGCCGGCGGGGCGGGCCTTCCAGGCGGTGACGTCACGCGGAGGCGGGGCCTCCGAGGCCCCGCCCCCGGCCGCCCCGGCGGGGGGGCAGGGGCGGCGGGCTGGTCGCGCGGCGCGCCCCCCACGCGGCGGGTCAGGCCAGCCGCAGCAGCCCGCGCTCGGCCAGCAGGCCCTGGGTGCGGTTGTAGACAGCCTCCAGGGTGGCCGCCGCCCGCACCAGCGCGGCCCGCGCCTCCGCCTCCCCGGCCCCGGGGCACGCCAGCTCGAGCCAGCGGCCGCGACCCGGGAAGGCGAGGAAGGCGAGGCGGGCGGCCTGGCGCACGAGCCAGGGGTGGTGCGGGGCCAGGGCCGTGCGGTACGCGTCGCTGCACTGCGCGCCCGCGTCCGGGCCTCCGGGCGTCGCGGCCGCCACCCGCTGGAGGCAGAGCTGGGACCAGCGCAGCGCTCGGTGCAGCAGGAGCAGGGTCCGCGAGCCCGAGGACCGGGCCGGGTCTCGGGGGGCGACCCCGGGCCGCTCCAGCAGTCCCGCCCGCCGCTCCCACGCCGCCATGGCCGCCAGCGACGAGTAGTGCGCCGCCTCCGGGCCGTGCACCCGCGCCTCGAGGGCTGACACCTTGGCAGAGGCCTCGCTCGTGGCGAAGGTGAAGATGGAGCCCAGGGGAGTCAGGAACCTGCGCGTGGGGTGGCGGGCGGAGGGCGCGCGTCGAGAAGGGGCGGAGGGGCCGCTGGGGGGCGGGCGCCGGGCGGGGGGGGGCGGGAGGCCGCTCACCTGACCAGCGCCTTCCATCCGGCCAGGTACTGCGACAAGGCCACATCCCCTGCGGGGTTCAGACTGGCGCGGAACGGCCCCATCGCGCGGCCCAGCACCCCCTGGGGGCCCTCACACGGAGGCTCTTCCCACCTGGGGGCCTCCAGGGGGCCCGGCTGCCGCGGGACCTAGGGGTAGACACGGGCGGAAGGGGGCGGGAGCAGAACCCCTAGCCTGCTGGGCCTCCTTGGCCAAAGAGCCCGGTGGGGCCCTGCAGAAGCTGCTCCTAAGGTCTGGCCGGGATCTCTCCAGTTGCGCTCGGCTGCTGACGCGAGAGGGGAGACGAGGGGCAGGACCCGTCCTTCCCCAGACCCCCAACCTGGCCCCGCTTCCAGCGATCAGGATCCCTCCCGGAGCCCCCGCCCCCGGCCCCGGCCTGAGCATACCTGGGCAGGCGGCGGGCCTTCGGGAATGCAGGACTGTGCCCAAGACCTGCAGCCCGCTAGGGTGCCTGGGGAGGAGCGAGGCGAGCGGTGAGGGCTCCGGGGGGGGGGGCTTGGGTCCCTGGTGCCTCCCAGGGCATGTGAGGGAAGGGGCTACTCACGAAAGCTCCGAGCACAGAGATAAAGCAGCAGCAGCGAGAGGACAGCGAGAGGAATCGCGTGGCGGAAGCAGCGCCGAGACACGTGGCTTAGCAGCGCGACCCCCATGGCTGGGGCGGGGACCACCGGCCCCTCGCCAGCCCCAAACCAGTCCCTGTCCGTCGGCCTCCAGGAGGCCAGAGAAGTCCGGGTGCCCTGAGGTGTTAAGGGTTAATAATTAACCTACTAAGGCCTCTTACCCTGTGGCCTTTGACCCAGAGGACAGCATCTCTGCGGTGAAAAACTGGATGAAGAGGATTTGTAGATTTCCCAGCAACGAGTCTCTGCCCTTGCCTTCGGTGTAGACCAGTTGTAGTAACTGGGAAGACAGGCTGGGCTGAGAACCAGCCCCCCACGGAGCAATGGTGTGGCCCCTACATCAGCACGGGCCTGGCGTTCCCTCCACTGCACAGGAGAATAGTAATCAGTACTTTGTCGTTCTCATCTGAGGATTAAATGATAATGTATGTGCAAACGCTGTAAATGAAAAAACTTACACAGTCGTTTCATAAATCGTAACCTATGAAGTTCAAACGTAGGGCCCCTGGGATCCAGGTTGGTTCTCGTTCACTGGTTTTTTGGTTGTTGTTTTTTTTAGTGTGTGTGTGTGTGTGTGTGTGTTTAAAGTAATCTCTATGCCCAACATGGGACTTGAACTCATGACCCCAAGATCAAGAGTCACACTCTACATACTGAGCCAGCCAAGCACATACGCCCCCCCCACACACCTGCCTGTCTTGCTCAAAACAAACCTTATTAACTATTTCCACATCTAGACCCCGTACTAAGCTGCAAGAAGACAGAAGTGCCTTCAGAGAGCTCAGATGCATTGGAAAATGTATCATCTGCCTCCATGATTTTCTGGGTTACTGTTCTATTTACAGCACTTAGAATATTGCCTGAGCCAAAACCACATTATTGGTATAGAAATATATATTGAGTAAACACAGGAAGATGTGTGAAGGGCAGACAAATGGGGTGGTGACCCCATGACAAATCGGAGCCATTTTTTTCTTCCCAAATTAGGAGGCCACCTAGTGGTCATGGCAGGGAAAGCATTCAGAGAAAGGACAGGAAGCAATGGAAAAACAGCCTCCCCTGTTCTTGGGGGGCTCTCAGTCCCCTGTCCATAAAGTTCACTGCCAAGATCCTTTCTAGCTACCACGGTTCAGGGGTTCTTGCCCTATCTCTCCCTCGAACGCTCCCCTCAATCCTGGAGGTCGGGAGCTACCCCACCCAGCGCTTCAGAGCCATTGCTTCATCCCTAGACACAGGCTCCCCGCTTCCCAGCGTCGGAAGGTTCCCCAGCTCGCTGACTGTGACCTTAGGCAAGTTGCTTGTCATTTCCAAACCTCAATTTCCTCATCTGGGAATAGGCAGGGTCATTCCCACCTGCTACAAGGTTGTAAGGATTAACACACGCTTGCAAAACCTGAACCGCAAGTCGTGGCCTATAGAAGTTCTGTAGCTGGTGGTGCATTCGGCGGGTCAGCTGTCTGCCCCTCCCCCTCGGGCGAGGGGGGCCTCGTCTCCAGAGCAGCGAATGTTGTCCGCAGGGTTCTGGGAGCAGATTAGTTTCGGGTGTCACTTAATCCCAGAGGCCCTTCCGTAATCGGAGACTTCACAGGGGCAGAGGTGCTATAAATCTGCACAGGGGCCCCCGCCTGGCACCCAGAGGCTGCAGGATGGCCAGGGGCGCCTCAGCCAAGCTGCTGCTGGTGCTGTGGACGGCCTGCTTCGGACGCGCAGGAGCCGACGGCCTGAGCGCCTACACGTCGGTCATCGAGGTGACCAACGGGGGACCTTGGGGCGACTGGGCCTGGCCTGAGATGTGCCCTGATGGATTCTTCGCCAGCGGGTTCTCGCTCAAGGTGGGGGCTCAGGCCTAGGTCTCTGAGGGCGGGGAAGACGCACCGCCCCACCTCCCCACTCCCCTGCTCGGGAACAGAGGCTGGCAGTGTTGTAACTTACTCTTACCCCTCCTCTCCTCCCGGCCCAGGAGGAGCCCCCCCAGGGTATTCCTGGCGACGACACTGCTTTGAACGGGATCCGGCTGCACTGCTCGCGCGGGAACGCGGAGCGCAACACGCAGGTGGTGGAGTCCCAGTCGGGCAGGTGCGGGATGGCGGGGGGGGGGGGGGGGGGGGGGGGGGCCCCCGAGGACGCGGATATGCCCTTACCGCGTAAGTGTCCGTTACACACTCCCCCTCCGGGCTAGAATGTTCCTCCGGGGCTGTGGGGCAGTGTAGACCTGGGGACTGGGTGGAAAACCTCCCAGGTCGGGTGACCGGACTCAACCCACCCCGGGTCGCGCAGCAACCGGCGGGAGGTCCCCAGTCTCCGGGGCTGGGGTGGGGGAGGGGGAAACCGCAGAAGCCTCGCTTCTCCCCCGCCCTCGTAGGTGGGGCGCGTGGAGCGAGCCACTGTGGTGCCCCGGCGGCGGCTTCCTCGTGGCTTTCTCGCTGCGCGTGGAGGCGCCCACGACCCCCGGGGACAACACGGCGGCCAACAACGTGCGCTTCCGCTGCTCCGACGGCACGGAGCTGGAGGGGCCCGGCCTGTCCTGGGGCGACTTTGGAGAATGGAGTAAGGCCTGCCCGAAGGGCGTGTGCGGTCTGCAGACCAAGGTCGAGGGGCCGAGGGGCCTGCGAGACGACACCGCGCTGAACGACGTACGCTTTTTCTGCTGCCGGAGTTGACCTGCTCGACCCCCGCCCCCCGCCCCCCGCCCCCCCAGGCTCCTCCCGCCTCTCTCGCTATTAAAGCTTCTCCGTCTCGGCTTCGGTCTCGTTTGTTTCAGGGCTGGAGGCGGCGGCGCTCTAGTCCTGGCCCCAATTCGGGTTCGGTCTCGGGGGTCCGGGCAGGCCACTCAGAGTCACGGGCCCAGGGGGTCTAGGTCAGTGGCAGAGCGTTTGACTGCAAAGTCACGGACCCACGCAACCAAGGAACACGCCCTTAAACACAATTTTGCATGCAAGTTAAGGAAGTCCCTGGGTTTGCGAGGGCGTCTGCAGACACGTCGCCCTGGTTAAGAGCCCAGACTGTTTCCTTTCTGAACCACCCGTGACCTCAGCTTAAGAAACTTCTACCAAATTAGGAGGGGAGAGCGCTATGACACCTTAAGTCTTCATTTTCTAGGGCTAACGCTAATTTGTCTTTCCCACAATCTCCTTCTTTTCCCTACAAAAGTCATCAAAGAGTGGCTTTCCTACCTAGGGATTTCCAAGTAGGACCTTCACCCTTGCTTCTCTGTGCCGCCCCCCCCCCCCCAGCTATCCAGACAGTTACAACGTCCACCAAATTCCCGCTTCGAATTTCACTTTCTCGGACTTCGTCTTATTTTCAAAAGCCCCTCTATCAGCCAATACCTATCCCATTACTAGTGTGTTTCTTTAAAAAGAGAAGCTGTCGGGGCGCCTGGGTGGCTCAGTCGGTTAAGCGACCGGCTTCGGCTCAGATTATGATTTCACGGTTCGTGGGTTCGAGCCCCGCGTCGGGCTCTGTGCTGACTGCCAGCTCGGAGCCTGGAGCCCGTTTGAGATTCTGTGTCTCCCTCTCTCTCTGACCCTCCCCTGCTCACGCTGTCTCTCTCTCTCAGAAATAACTTAAAAAAAAATTTTTTTTAAAGGGAATATTGCCTTTTTAAAAAGGCACCTATCTCGCTCCCCTGGAATGTGAAATTCTTGGGGCGCATGGAACGTGCGGGTCTTGCTGACCACTGCATGCGAGGGCTCGCTACCAGCTCGGTAACTACGTGTTAAGAGAACTTGCACGGGGACCACACCGGGGCGCCCCGAGGCCGGGCGCGTCTGGACGCCCCGGGACCCCCTCGCAGCGCAGAGGGCGCAACCCGAGACGCGCACGCGCACGAGAGCTCAGAGGTTTATTCCGGGGCGGGCTGGGCCGACGGGGTCCGGGCGCGGGCGGGCAGGCGGCGGGGGCCTCAGCTCTGGTCGCCCTGCGGGAGAGAGGGGGGTGAGGATGCCGCCGGGGGGCAGGGGGGACCCCGGCCCGGCCCCGCCGCACGCCGCCCCACCTCCTTCTTCCTGCAGTCGCCGCAGAGCACGCCCAGGGCGGCGTTCACCAGCTGCACCCCGCACAGCACGGTCTCCAGGCACGCGACGACCAGCAGCAGCGAGAAGAGCGTCACGTTCCAGGACACCACGCGGGGCGGCGCCTCGCACGCGTCCCACAGCGTACGGTTGCTCAAGTAGGAGCCTCTGCGGGCGGCGTCACGTGAGGAACCGAGGGCTTCTTGCAGCGCCCTCCACCCCCCCCCAGCCCCGCGCAGGCGCCGAGCGGGGGTGGGGATGGGGGTGGGGCGGGGGCGGGAGTTGGAGGTGGGGGGTGGGGGCG